GAAGCAGGGTTTGGGGGGAAAGGTACGCTGAATGATCGGTTACAGCGCGGCTAGTGTTTTACACCAAACACCACGGGTGCTGTAGAATGCATGGTACGCATCCACAAGGTCGATAAATGTAGCGCGAAACATTCGATGTCAGGGAGATTTTACCGGTAAGCAATAACTCATCAAGCGCTTGCACCGACAGTTGAATACGACAACAGGTGGCGTCTCGGCGCCGCAACCAAAACCACTCATCACCAAAGGGGACCACCGGAGAACAAGGAGAGGACCAGAGGGTTCGAGAAACCGGGGAGGCCTTGATACCATCCCCGGGGGTTCCACTCAAGGGATTTTCAGGCTTGTCAGTGAGTCGATGAAGTGTTGCCAACGCAACGGTGTTGTTCGCGCCTTCCATGGTCTAGAGAAGTCAGTCATACTCGAGGGAAGAGAGGCTTTATTTTCACCGAGGTCTCTGAGGCGCACGGTCGCCTGGGCATTTTTTTGAAAGAGAAAAGTCAGAGGACCGACCGCACGTCTGCATCTATCTACCTCTAGCGGTGATTTGTCAGGTCAGGGCAAGGTAGGTCGCGCCTAGAGGCAGGCCTTGAATGAAGCCCAGGCCAGGGCTTCGGGCTAACGCTAACGCGGGCGGTCGGTAATCGGCACAAAACGAAGGCCAGAGCGCGACTGCTGCTGACTTGTCAGTCGCAACATAACACGGGAAGAGCACATGGCCCGCACACACATACACAACGCGCACTGAGACTGACATCTTTTCATTGGTCAGCCGGTTAGCGCGGTCGATGCTAATAATTAAACACACACACACACACACACACACACACACGCACCTGATACACCCGCCATCCTTTAGGACCACGGTCACGCTAGCCTTGCTCGCGAGCGCGGCTGCCGCCGCACTCCCACCCGCCGCCGCCCCCCCGCCTATCCCCACCATCCCTCCCACGCCTCCCCTCCCTCCCGCTCCCCCACTAGCCGCAGCCGCTTCCCTCGCAACCGTACGCCAAACTTCCCCTGCGGCGGACTCGACCTCCGCTGCCCTCTCCGCCGAGGGAGCCACCAGCACGGGGGCGGCGTGATCGGCCCAGTCGGAGCGGCGCAAAGGGTCAAACGCGGCGCAACTGGCGACAGTTAGCGGGCCGAAACCGCCGCGCGGGGCGGGGAAGGCGGTTACCGCTAGGGGTGTGACGGTGGTGGAGTCGGGCAGGACCGTGGGGTAGCGAAGGTGGGTGGCGTCCTGGCGTTTTTCAAGAGGGGGGTCGTGACGTTTTGGGTCGGGGGGGGGGGGGGG